GCTCCAGGTTGAGCTGTTGTTCAGCATCTTAGCTGTGGAGGGCAGTGTCACTGGCCCTCATATGTGGGATCCAAACCGGGGCCCTGTGGCATCCCAAGCCAGTTCTTAACCATCGCGCCACTCGGCCGGCCCCCATCTGTCCTTTCTAATCTTATCCACCCTTCAAAGCCACCCTATAATGTCTTTCTGGACTATGCTGTAGAAGAGACAGGGAACAGAAGCAGATGTGAATGATCAAATGAACTTGTCAAATGTTCACTGTGCAAAGCAGAAGAGGGATGGATCAAAGATGACTCCAGAGGACATGTTTCAATGGCTGTGACCAGAGTAGGGATGACTGACTGACAGGGAGCCTCACTTAGTGGTGCCAGGAAAGGTTCAGAAAGCTGAGACCTGGAAAGAAACCAGCCATAATTATGGGAAAGAGCGTAGAGACAGCTCTAGGCTGAGGGAACAACTTAGAAGTCTAAAGGAGGTGGAAATAGCTTACCATATGCTAGAGTACAGTGTGGAGGAAATTGGCAGGAGATGAAGTAAGAACCAGGTCGTGTTGGGCTTTGTAGGCCTTGGTGGTGATAACATGGAAGTAGGACCTAGGCCATATGTGTAGATGTTATCCTAAGTGCAGTAGACAGTCACTGAAGGGTTTAACACAAAAGAAGTGACATAATATGATTTATGTTTTTAAAAGGTAACTCTGGCTGTACTGTGAGGAGTGGCAAAACTGCAAGCCAGTCTAATGAGGGTATTGCTATACTGCAGTCAAGTCAAGAGATAAAGATGATAATGTTATGGAGGGTGGCAACAGTGGAAATGGAAAGAAGGGAAGAGAGTACAGATTTATTTTGAAAGTAGAAACGATGATGGAACTTGCTGATGGATTGGTTGGATGTGGGAGTTGAGAGAAGAAAGACACTTCACGTAACACTTTGATGACTAGCTTGAAAGAAGAGTAAAGAAGGAACAGGTTTTCGGGATCTGATAAGGATGGAAATGAATGACTTCATTTGGGAGTTGTTGAGTTTGAGATACCTCTAAGATAGCCCAAGTAAAGATGTAAAATGAGGCAGGTGGTCAGACTGATGTGTCTGGAGAACACAGGTATGGGCGAGACATAGATTTAAAGCCATGGGAATATTGAGAGTTTGTAGGGGGAGAATGCAGAAAAAAAAGAAAAAGGACCCAGAACCAACCCCAGGGAATTCTCACATTTAGAGGTCAGGTGGAGAGGACAGCCAGCAAGGGCCTCTGAGAAGGGGTAGGGAGAGAGGCAGCAGGAAACTCGGGAGACCATGAAGAGTAGCTAAGAGAGGCAGGTCATGAAGTGTTTTGTAACTTTACAGTTCAGTGCCAGCAAGTTGAAAACTATAATTTCCAAAACTACAAACTTGAAGTACTGACAAATAACTTACACTGGCCTTCATAAAAGCCGTTTAAATTCATGCTAGTAAAATGATTAAACAGACAAAATTGTAGAGGTTTGGAGTTGGCTTCAAATGGCTTCAGTTGAAAAGCGGATTGTTTTTTTATTTTCTAACTTCATAGAATAAAGTCACTTTTTATATGAATCAGACATCAAAGGCTTCAGAGCAATCTAAGTGCCAAACCATTAAGGATAATCTTTCTAAAAGCTTTTTAAATTTTTTTATTATGTAAAATTGGCCTCAGTTTTGAACCCTTACTGTGTGCCAGACAGTGTTCTTCAGGTACTTTACATGTATTGTTTTTGTCTATTCCTTCTGTTAGCCCTAGAAGATAGGTGTAATTATTGTGACTATCATTACACAAATGAAGTAACAGAAGCAAACTGAGTGACTTTGAACTTGTTCAAAGTTATGCGAAGTACAAGTGGTAGAACTGTGCTTTGCACCCAGAAACTACTGATACTGACACGCATGAGCTTAACCATTGTGTTAGAATAGAAAATGTAGATTAAAAAAAACCCCACAACTAATCCAGATTTTAAAAACAAAACCCCAGAGGTAATTACTGCTAACATTTGGTGTGTAACTTCTTAATTTTTGTCCCTTCTTATATCTATATTAAGATAATAGCTAACACTTATTGAACACATTCTGTGTGCTATTTTTAAAGTCCAGTAGCCAGTAAGTGGTAGAGCTGAGATATGTACCGACTGCCTAGTTCTCCTTTAATCTACCACTCTTTCACACAAACACACTATATTGAGGTTTTCTTTTATTCTTGTTAATATACATATATACATAATTATATATAGATACATATACAGATAGATTTGCTAAATATATATAAAACTATATATATATATGTATATATATAAATCTTTTTCCCACTTAACAATGTATAATGAACATCTTTTCTATGAATAGCCAAAATATTGTCAGTTTCAAACCACCAGCCTCCTAGAGCTCATCAGGACTTATTTAGATTATTAAAGATCTTTACAATATAGTTTTCATTTTAAAGTTATTTCATTATGAGGTGCTTTCCTGCAACTCTTAAATTTTCAATTCATTCTGTACTCATCCACTCGACAAATATTTATGAAGCACTTTTAGATGTACCAGACACAAGAGCAATAGTTTCTGTCTTCATAGATAATACATCAAGTGGGGATGGCAGATATTAAATATATAATTATGTAATTAATTATTTTATTATCATAGTGCTAAGTGTCCCAGAGCAAAAGAATGCCATGGAGCATATAACTAGTCTATTGTCATCTAACTAGTTTAATGAGGTTAGGAAAGGTTCCTCTGAGCATATGAATTTAAGCAGAAATCTGAAGCCAGGGCAGAAGTTAGGAAGATGAAGAGGGCAAAAGGGAACAGCCTGTGTGAGGGCTCTAAACTAGGAAGTAGTATGATTCTTTCAAGAAACAAAAATAAGGTCAATGTTACTAGAATACAGAGTGGTAGCAAAAACAATGGGGTTGGTGATGAAGGCAGATCTATTGTATGTTTCTAAGGAATATATCACAAACCACAGGTAACACTGAAAACGGACTTTCTATGTGTCTTCTTTGCAAAAGTGCCTATTCAGGGCCGGCTGAGTGGCGCGATTGTTAAGAGNTGGTCTACAGATAACCTATTTGGTCCATATTTTTTACCCTACATTTATATATACACATACATACACATACACACATGCGCGCGCGCGCGCGCACACACACACACACACACACACACACACACAGATGTGGTAGATCAACTCTTAAACACACAAATGGGATCATACCATACATACTGTTCTGTGACATATTTTTCCCCCCTTCCATTTGGAGATCTTTACATATATTAAAAATATACCATAATTTATCCATTCCTTTTTGATAAACATTTAGGCTTTTCTTCCTTTTTTCATCATTGTAAACATTCCTGCTATTAAAAGGCATATAGAATAATTAAATGCTTTATATTTTCTATAATGAACACATATTTTTATAGTACTTGAGGAAGTTTAAAACTCTTAAAATATTAAAAACACTCACTTACTTTGAGTTGGGAATAAATATTTCAAGATAGATCTGTTTGATAGCGCCCGTTTTACTGCTCCTAACGCCATGGTGAATCAGGATGCTTATCAGGTGGTATGAAAAAAGATGATTTGAAGGAAAACTACCTTCCAAATTTGCTTCTGGGCATACCTATTTTCATCCCTGCGTAAAAGATTAAAAAAAAAAAATCAGTGCTACCTACAGTAAATTAAAGTGACACGATATATTGATCACTACAAGAACAAGATAGGAATCACTACCTAGAACCAGAGTCCCCTAAAGCAAAGCTTTTAAACAACCTTCCATTTCCATGTAATATGAGACAATGAGCAACATCATCAAAGTGTCAGGTCAGAAACCCCAGAACTATGTCGATTACAATTTCCCTTAAATGCAAACTTCTCAGCACCTGGTGTAGTTCTCGCCACTTACAGAGTGCTTAGCAAATGCGTAATTACTCTCAGAAACAGTCACTCCCACGTGCTACACAGAGCATCCTCCTTCATAATGCTAATGTGTCTGTCTGTGTACAACTCCCTAAGTACCATACACAAGACCTTATTACATCTCTTAAAGTAGTATTCTGTTTCTGATTAAATGAAATATTAAACAAGGCCTACCCTTGGCCTATTATAATAAATATTGATTTAAACAAACACATTCACACACTGAAGACCCAAATATAACCTCACCATCTTACATCTGTATAAGGTTTTTAACTTTCTAAGGTGCTTTCATTACCATTTTATTTCACTCTCGTATTAATCATGTGAGGTATCTTTGATTCATGAAGACACTAAAGTACGAAGTTTCTTGGACTAGCTTCCAAGAACTTTTAAGTCAGTCGCTTACAAACTGGGAAACATTGGGCAGGTCATGAACTAAATGACCTTCAGTTTCTTCCATGGTAAATGGTGAAAACCACCGCAACCTCCACAGCTGTTGTGAATAAGACACATAAGCATTGTTGCATCCCTCATTTTTAATTGGCCTCGAAGATTATTCGTTCCCTTCCCCCATATTGATAAAATGGAATTAGGCCAAGGGCCTCACAGTCTTGTTTGCTAAACTATGCAGGTTGATTCCTTGCATTGTCAGTACGCTACGATTCCCGAGTTCATACAGTGTGCTTCTTATAGTTTACAACTTTCCCATATGTTATGTACTTTTTCACAAGTCTGCGAAGGAGACATCTTCATTTTATACATTAAGAACAGAGGCTCAGAGAGATCAAACGATTTACATGCCAACTATACCACTGCTTAATAAGTGGCAAGGGTGGTACGCAAACCCTTGTCTTCTGAACACGAACCAAGAAACAAAACATTTGGGGGGGACTTAGATCCCCTTGCAAAGGCAAGCACACCCAGCAGGGGAGATGATTATTCACCCCAGAGAAATTCTGAGGGTAAATCACTTGGCCCGGAATTCAACCCCGAAGCAAAAACTGCGGACGGTCTCGGAGGGGCTGAAATTTGAGGAACGGGCTAGCAAGAGCATCGGGACTAGCACCCAGAGGCAGAACCGAAAGACTTCGACCTAGAGAGGTCCCCCAGCGATTGGCCGAAGCACGAGGGGAGGCCCACAGGAAGCGCGCGGCCAAACGTCGGCCTTTCTGCGGGACGGACCGAGTCTGGTGACGCCAGAGGCTTTGTTCTGGCGCGAACGACAAGTAGGAGACCTCAACAACTGCCGATAAACCTTCTGGGCCTGCCCAGCTTAGCTTCTAGGTACTGCCTAACCCGAGGAGGAAAGGGTAACTGTTACCTGGACAGCTGCTCACCGCGAGCCTGCCATCTTGCCTCAAGCCGGGTCCTACAAAACCCCGTTCCCCGCGCCTCCCTGGCCTGCGGGGCACTCTGGGAAATGTAGTCTTGCTGGAAAAAGCGTCGGGTGCCACTGGAGGACTAAGACCCAAACTACGTGCTCCCACGTTCAGTAGCTGCAGCTTGCCCGCAACTTTACCCATATCACCCTCCAAAACAAAATCACTGCCCCACGCACATATCCTTAGAAAGCAGCAAGCACTATTTTAAAGAAAATTTTATACTAATAATGAAAGTAACTGGAGATCGCTCCTTGGTGGATGAGTTAAGGTTTCCCAGGGGGAGAGGCATTTCAGAGAAGCACTGAAAAGAGGTGGGGTGGGATATGATGTTTGAAATGGGGAGGTGGGGAGGGCCTCCAATCCGAAAACCAAGCACTATGTTCTGAGAACTGTGCTGGCTATTCATTATGGGGTAAAGAAAATGTGCAGAATCCTGAACTTTGCCTTTTATTTTGGGGGGAGAAAGGGCCTCTGGGCCTTTGCACTTTCTGTTCTCATTGCCAGCAGTGCTCTTCTCTCACTTCTTATGACCATTGACTTACATTATACAGGTCTTGCTCAATTACCTCTGAGAGGACCACACCATTAAAATAGCCTCACTCATCCTTATCCCATTGCCCTCCTTTATTTTTCTTCATAAAATTTACCCTTACATGATATTATATTGTTTCCTCATTTAATGTCTGTTTCATGCTAGAATGCAAACTCCATGAAGGCAGGGACAAATATGTATCTTGTTCTATACTGTATACAAACCCAACATAGAGAACTGTGCTTGGCCTCACTATAGGTCTCCAGTATTTGTTAAATGAATGAAATAATTAGTTAACACTGCAGATATCCAAGCTAGTAGATGACTGACTGCTAAAGCAGCAGTTTAACCTGGGAATTTCTTTCCCCCATGATTTGCAAAATTGTGTATTAATGTACATTTTTCTGAAGGATTCATACATAGCTTTTACCATTTATTCAAGGGGGTCGATAAACCTTTCAAACAGTTAAGGGCCATAGTGCTGATGTGATTAATATTAAAAATAAGTGAACATAAGCTCACAATAAAGAAAAATAAATGTGTGTTGCTGTGGTGTCTCTCCACATTCCCCACAGAATATCAGGCCCATTCTACCACTAACCTGTGCCCCTGTAGAAGCACACATTGAGGGCCCATCTGTCCTTTCTTTTTTCTTTTTTTTTTTTAAAGATTTTTATTGGGGTATTGGGGGGAAGGGAACAGTGCTGGGGAATTGGGGGTAGGGGAACAGACAAGTTGCTGTTGTTTTGTTCTTCAGTCTAGTTGTGGA